GAACTTAGACAAGGCAGGCACTTATTACTGAAGGAAGGGCAGGACTGTGGGGAGACCAAGGCTAGATTCTGAGAGTAAGTCATAAAACAGAAGTGTAAGCTGAAGCCCAGAGAGGGGAGCCAACTTGCCCAGAGTCACACAGCAAGTGGGCAGACAGAAGTAAATGCTCATTGCTTCTATGGCTTCTCCTTGGCCTTCTTCCCGGGCTCTCTGCCTGTGACCTGGCACACTCTGCCCAAATGTACCATGACATGCTCACACACTGTCTCCTCAGATGGCAACCCTGGCACATGACTTGCTGAAATGCAGATGTCCTCAGAGTGTCCACATTCCCTTGTCCTCCCAGACTATTGACCCTACCAACCCTTGCCACTCTTGCCCAGCATGTTTCTCAGCCTCGCATTCTGGTTTAGTCCTGAAGTCCAGAAAAAGGCAGCCAGCAGCCACCTCCCCTGCTGGGCAACTTTGCCAAAGAAGGAAATGAGACTTGTCTGGCATGACGTTTGGCCAGACAAACCTCATTTCCTTTCTGACAGGGTAAGGTGCTCTAGTTCTAAGAAGAAACTAGTTTCAAGGAATTTCCTCCTGGAAGATAGAGGGGCCTGGGAGTAGAGTATAAACTTGGTTGTTTCCTCATCTCCTCATCCTCTTCTCCATCAGCACCCCCTGCGCCCCATGGTTTCCCTCTGTCACCAGCTGCACACACCCCTTACCTGGGCGGTTCCTTCAGCTACCTCTATGGACACTGACCTAACTGGAACATTTTCGGGTTAGTGATTTAGCATGCAGGTCACACCCACCTATAGAAAAGAGGTGCTATATGACCAGGTGTCCCTCAAACCCACACTCATGTTAGGAGGCTCCAGCTGGCTTGGGATTGGTTCTGGGTCCTGTGTGAAGTGGGAAATTGGAGACAGAACATCTCTCGGGAATGGCCAGCCCAGAAGCCTGTCCTCAGCTTTCTTTCTCCTTTTTCTCCCTGTCTGGCCCTTTAAGCTCAACAAGGGGGTTCAAGTCCCCTTTCTTCCCATGGTCACCATTCCAAACTTCTTCAATTCGGTGGGGTGGGGAAACAGTACTGGTGAGGCCCCAGGTATCTCAGAAGAGGAGTGGTCACTCACTTTGAGGTTCACCCACCTACTGCCACATAGTAAAATCCCAGACATGTATCCTGGGAAAGCCCAGCCCGTGGGTGTGCCGAATGTGCCAGGCAGTCTGTACGCACATGTCAGTGCCTGTGCCCACAGGCATTTGAACAAACATGCTTATTACGAAGCAGGACTGTTCTGAGGCTTTACAAGCATTGACTCACTTAATCTTCTGGGTAGGTACTGTGTAGATCTCCACTACACAGATGAATAGATTTGAGACATAGAGAGCTTAGGCTATCTGCCTAAGGTATCAGGGGCAGGGATTGAGGCCAGCATTGTGGCTTCACGTGTAGGTATGTGAGGTGTGTCACACATGTTGGTGTGTAATCTGTGTGGCTGTGTGTTTGGGGAAGGAAGGGTGAATTTACCTTTCACTCTCATACTCACCCCAACATAGACCCTAGAACTTGCAAAGTCATGTCAGGTAGTACTTTGTCCAGAGGACCACAGTCCTCAGGTTAATGGGAAATCTGCTCCTCATGCACAGTTCACCCTGACAGGACCTGCAGTTCCCTTTACCTGGACATTAAAGGCAACCTGTCAAGTGTAGTGGTTTCCTCTAGTCCACTGTGAGAGGCTGTTCGTGCCAGATCCCAAAGGTGCTGAGGAGGTGGAACCAGGCACTAACCATCTTGAATAACTCTGGAGCATCTGGTTAAAATGTCCTGGGGCTGACAGAAATCTTATTTTGGATAATGCCATGGAAGTCACACAGTGAACACCTTGTGAAAATGATTCTGAGAATGATCTCAGAATTATCCTGATGTTTGCTGGAAATATCAGAGCATGGTCAGAGGAATACTAGGGAATTTCTACTTTGCAGTTGAGTATTGGTGAGCTTCCAGGCACTGCTTTAGACACATCATCTCGTTTAATAGATTGAGGTGGTTGTCAGTTGTTGTTAAAGTGCTGTTGGGTCAATTCCGACTGGGGACCTTATACAGGGTTTTCAAGGAGCGGCTAGTGGGTTTGAACCACTGACTTGTGGTTAGCAGTCCAGTGCTTTTCCTGCAGCACCATACCAGGACTCTGAGATATAGAGGTAAGTGCTATTAATCCCATTTCACAGGTAAGAAAATGAAGTCTGATGAGGAAATAATTGAGCCCCAGGAGCTGTGTATACTCACTCGCCTGGAGCACAGCCCCTAAGTTCTGGACACTCCTCACTGGAGGTGAGAGGTGCAGATACAAGGGTAGAACTCTGCTTTCCTCTGACACCAGTAAGTAGTCCCACTCACTGGCCCACAGCACTGGAGAGCTCAAACCCTTTGAGGCAAAAGAGAAACCACCTGTTGTTACAAAGATAGGGTCATTTATTCATGTTATATTACTGGATTTTAAAGGCAAAATACAGTTTTTGTCTGTTCTTAACACCAAAGTCAGACACATACCCCTGCTCCCCATCCCAATGGTATATACACACATTTGCATACATGGGGAAATCAAAATACCCAGCCAAACTAGTCTGGAGGACATGAACGCTGTCTCCTGGCTGTGTGGACATCAGCAAAGACTCTGTTCTTGCTGACACCCAATGACTTCCTTCATTCTCTTGTGCCACATCTGCCTTCTGATCTTTTCCAAAGGCTGCTTCAAAACAGGGTCACCAGCAACAGGATGGAGAGGAGCAGAGAAAGGCACAGCACATGACAATTTCCGGTACAGCTCCTGGGTGAAGGAAATGGTCCCTGCACCCACAGCCCTGAAGTCCCCCAGTGGAAACAGGGCGTGCAGCGCATGGATTTGTGCTGTGAACCCTGGGGGCCCAGGAGAGCACCAGAGGTCAGAAAGGAGGGGGTGGAGGGAAGGCAGGTGAAGCCATATTTTTTCCTCTGGTTCCAAGAATGAACCACACACTTGACTATTCCCATCAAACATGAAGGAAAATAACATGAAAAAAAAAAAGGCAAAGTCAGAATTTTGTCTGAGGAGTAAAGTTACAAAGACATTACCATCCAGGGTATTTGTCTCTTTCTTTTAAGGCACTTTGGAAAAGCCGGGATCTGGACACAGGAAGCAAGGTCTTGATTGTTTCTATTTCCCCAAACTCCCTCTTAGGCATTCATTCCTAGTTTTAATAACATTGCTACAAATGAGCAGGGAACAGACAGAAATACTCTTTGCAAAGCACAGTTGCTTCTGCAATAGAAAATAATTTTGAACCAATACAATGCCTTCTGGAAAAAGAACCAAGTTAGCATCTGAGATGCTCAAAGCAAGAAAAGGCACAAGATTGGGCCGGGGCACCAGCTCAGCCTCCACACTGAGGGCTGGTGCCTAGGGGCCGTGGTGGTGGTGGGGTGTCCCTGGGATGAGGCAGCTGAATCTGATGATCGGAGGCAAGGCAGGGCCAGTGGAGGAACTGCCTCATGCCATCTGGTCCCAGAAGCAGGGGCTTTTGGAAGGTATCCCTGTGGATTAGCCTCACTAGAGCGATGATGCTCACTAGAGCACCTGCTAAAAACTTGTGGAGAAAGGCGAGGTTTACGGCACCAGAGTTCTTGTGAGAGAGTCAGGTGTGGGTTTTGCTAAAGGCACATTCACACTAGAAAATGAAGACTTTGACCCTGAGTGCCATAGGCAAGTTTTAAGGAGTGGGCAAGAGGCAAATGAACCAAAAGGGGAAGGAAGAAGAAAGGCAAAGGTAGGGGGAGAGAAGGGGTTGGAAAGAGATGGAGCAATTAAGTATGGCTGGCAGGACCTCTGAGGAAGGCAGCCCCCAGCCTTCACATGCACCAGAACGTGAAGGCCCCTCTGCCTGCCCACGGGGAGGCACTAAGGGCTGGCAAACTTGATTGCCTTATTTACAAACTCCACAGCGTGGGCTCTGAGGGTAGGCCCAGGGGTCAATCCAAAGGGGTTGAGGTTCCCTCTACCCTGCCTACCGGGGGAGGGGGGAGAGGGGAGAGCGCTGCAGAGCAGACTGAGGTCCCCCTGGTCCAGGAGTCCCTGTCCTAAAGGTCTGACAGGATACTGCTAGTAAGGAGGCCCTGCTCTCATGAAGGGGCCAAAGGTCTTCACGTAACCTGGCCTGCCAGCTAAATGGAAGGCTCATTCATGGCCACTACAGCATACATAATTTCCCCCCTAAAACACATGCTCAATCCTCTCCCCACATTTAAAACACCACAATAAAAATACATAGGAAATTCAAGTTTACATAGCATGCCCAGAAAAAAAATTGTCATGACCTAACAGCAAATTTAGATCAACACAAAAATCAAGCTAGATCATAATTAGAACCTGATTTTTTCTTCCTTTAAAGTACTACACGTTGCTAATGAAAAGAAAAAACACCTTTACATTCAGAAATCAGACAATCTGGAAATAGGCTACTCAGTGTGAGAACATCCAAGCCTTTTGCTCGGATGGCTCAAGTTGCCTTGGAATTCACACTTTAGCAGGACAAAAAGGTCCAAGGCCCAAGTTAAAAAATTACTTTTCTATATGAAAAGACACACATAGTGATTGTAATAGTTGCATACCACTGAAAGAAGGTAGGAGGTGGGGGAGAATAAAAAGAGAATGGCTGAAATTTTAAAGTATTTTTTTTTGGTTGTTGCTACTAAAATATGACAACCAAAAAACATCCACCGGTCCAATTTCAGCACAATTTCAGCAGCACCCTCTAATCTTTCATGAAGTTATAAGAATACCACAATCCACAATTTAAAGCAAAATTCTTGCCTATTTCATAATAAGTTAGCAGGTTTATCACTGGGAATGAGTCCCAGTCACCAAATTTTTGGCTGTGTACAGTTCTGACTCTTTGGGGCGGCACTGTGAGCAAGATGAGACACCCTCCAAATGCTGACAGTTTCTATAGTTAAAAACACCATGTAGAGCTAAGAAGCCACATGCCGAGCGAAGTTGGGGGCAAAATATCCCACTCGTCCTGGTCATCTGGAAAGGCATCTGAGTAATGAGTGAGGGGGTCTATCACTCTGATTGGTAAAAATGAGAGGGACCAGCCCAGTGGATTGGCAGGGACACAGCAGAAGTCCCTAGCCATTTTCAAGTCTCTTATTAGTATATCAGAACGCTAGCTCGGCTTCCCAACGTCCACTGTGATTTTGGTATACAACGGGTATTTCGTTATGTCCAACACCTTGTAGTTGAGTGTGTTCAAACCATCCAAGAGCATGGTCTCCTTTGTGTGTGCAATTCTGTCAAACCTATGGACAAGGAGACAAAAGGCAAAGGTCAAAACAGCCATTAAATACGTGCATTTCATTTCTCCCACCCTTTTCCCTCCTCACAGACTAGACTCTCCATTTCTCTCCAGCCTCACTAATGTTGCCAAGGCGCCCCACCCTCCACCCCACGAGGGAAGAAAGATTATCAACAGAACCAGAACACACCTCTGAGGATTAGGTTCATTTTTTTTGTCTCTTGAGTGGCGGATCATCCGACACTTCCCGATCACAGCATTTGGGCGAGATATAGACATGCCTTTGAAAACTAATCTGCAAAGAGTAAAGGAACAAGTCATGATCACAGAGCTGCCCAGAGGTTTGGGTTCAATAGCCCAGCTACAAGATTATTCTTGGGCCCAGGGTCCCCCATCCATCATCCTGCTGACTCTTCTAGCTGGGCCCAGACCCCAGCACTGGTTGGAAGTCACACTCCTCCCACAAGTTCATTTATCATTGGTTTTACAGTTAATATTAAAAAACAAAACAAACAAACATTGAGCTAACTCCAACTCACAGCAACCCTAAAGGGCAGAATAGAATTGCTCCATAGGGTTTCCAAGGCTATAAATCTTTACCGACACAGACGGCCACATCTTTCTCCCGTGAATCAAGCGATGGACTCAAACTGCTGACCTCTTGGTTAGCAGCTGAGCACTTGACCATCCACAATAAGAGTTATGCCCTTTATCTTCAAAGAAAGTTGCTCCACACACCCCCACCCCTCTTTCTAGTCCCACGCCTTGGGTGCCACCCTAGGTGTGCCCTCCCAGTAGGTGCTGAAGATGGTCTTTAAGAAAGACCTGACTATTCACATTTGTGCTGCCATAACAGCTCGGTCTTCTGCCACATGGGAGCTCTGGGTGGCACAGATAGATGCTCAACTACTACCTCTAAGGCTGGCAGGTGGAAATCAGCAGAGCTCCTTGGAAGACAGGTCTGGCGATCTACTTCTGAAAGGTCACCATCTTGAAATCATTACAGAGCAGTTCTAGTCAACATGAGGTCGCCATGAGTTGGAATCGACTCTACAGGAACCAACAACGATGACAACACTACTACCATCTAGGTCCAGTGTTTGCCCAGCTGTGATTACCTATGGAAGTCACTTTGTAACTGGCTGGACCCTATGCCCAGGTCTTCTGTGTCCTCCCCACTGAGCCTACCTGCACAGTGCTCTATTCAATAAATTCACACTTGATTGTTGTTGTTGTTAAGTGTTGTCGAGTGGGTTCTGACCCATCATACCCCTGTACAGGGTTTCTGAGGAAGAGCTGGTAAACTTGAACTGCCAACCTTGTGATTCAAACCGACTTTGCAGTCCAGTGCATTAACCCGCAGTGCCACACCAGGACTCCACACACGATAACCAACCTGACACTCAGGTTTTCCTCCAGGTTTATAGTAAAAGTCTGGGTCTGTCAAGTTCTCCCATGATTTTAGACATGGATGACTTGGGCTGCTGTCCCCACAGAAACTTTTTGTTAGTGGATCATATAAATGAACTCCAATTCAGGAGAGCTGTGCCAGTGTATTCTGATATCAAACTCAATCACAGGGTCACACAGCCTCCAAGAGGAAGAAGGTGCTTCTTACCGGAGCTGACAGAGTTGAAGCCTCAACTGGAGACTACCATAGATTCCTTAATGAATTTCAGGAGGCCCTGGTGGTATAGTGGCTAAGCACTCAGTTGCCAACAGAAAGGTAGGTGATCAAGCCCAGCAGCCACTTTTCGGGAGACAGATGTGGTAATCTGCAGTCTTGGAAACCCTTCCAGGTAAGTCTACTCTGTCCTCTCGGGTCGCTATGAGTCAGAATCAACTTGGTGGTAATGAGTTTGGTTTGCGGATTTACCAAATGCCAATGATGGATGCAATGGCAACCCCTGAGACTAAGGTTTCCCGTTTTCACAAGAGCCTGGTGCTGTGGATAACATAGGATAACATAGGATAATAATGTGGACGCTGAGTGCTGGGCGGCACATACAGGCTCAGTATGCTACTCAGAATGGTAAACATTCTCTGACATTACAAAAATGGCCTAAGTGTTCTGTGAAGAAATTGAGGAATCTGCCCAAGGGAATTTGTTTCACACTGAAATGGGACTGCAATGAGATGCTGAATTTTTGCAAAAGGCATGTTTATTCCCTTAGGACAAAAAATCGCATGTGGTGCGGTCAAAGTAAACTCACCCCTTCTCATTTCACATTTTACCTTTTCCAAGGCTAACCCAAAAATCTCAGATGCTAACTGTCCTAGTTTTTCATTCTTTCTTGATGTATTTCCCTAAGTAATAATGACAGTCCCTCTTCTTCATCTGCTTTTTTAACTTTCTATTGTGAATTGTTGTTGTTGTTGTCAAATACCATTGAGTCGGAACCAACTCATAGCGATCCCATGCACAGCAGAACAAAACAATGTCCGATCCTGGGCCAACCTCACTACCGCTGCCACACCTGGGTCCATCAATGATGCCACCTGGCCAATCCATCTCGTTAGAGGTCTTCCTCTTTTTCTCTTACCCTCCACCTTACCTAGCATGACATCTTTCTCCAACGATTGTTTCCTCCGGACAATATGTCCAAAGTATGAGAGACGAATTGAGTGAAGGCAAAAAAGCCAAGATCATCAGCCTTACTTTCAACAATCATATAGTTTGTTTCATCTCAATGATTACACTTCCCTTCCCCGTAACAACAGCTACCGTGTCTCCACTCTGTGGCTTCCCTTTTACATCTTATTTTTCACAAATGTACAAAGCAAAAATATTTGATGTACACATGCAATGCAAAAAATATATACTCATTTAAGTGTCCAATGGACACATTTGGCAAGCCAGCCTCCTGCCCGCAAGCACAAAGCCTTTCTCAGCCTAGACTGTCTTCAGTACTTACAGGAGGATGTGCCAAAGAACTGGGGTTGAGTTGGGGAGGGGGAGGTTTCCACATTCCTCCTGAAGGCTCACCCTTGCAGAATAACCAAGCACTCACCCAAATTTTTACAAGGAGGAAAAGATCTGTCTAGTGACCATTACCTGTTAAAAATGTCATCATCTTCACCTCCCCAGCCCCAGTAATTATTAGGAAATCCATTGATGGTGCGAAACTGTTGTTTACTTAGAGCAGAGACACCTCCGAAATACTGAACATAAGGTAGGCTGTGGAAAAAACGCACACACAAAGGACAGGATTAGTAGGTTTCAACATTGCCAAAATAAAGTTTCCTGGAAATCTATACAGTTTCAAAGGTACTCTTTATTCTGTGGGGCTTTTGGATATTTTTGTATCAAGACTCAGATCACCTTAGAGAAGCAGTGAGTAACATCTGGCCCATGGACCATATGTTGTTGTTAGTGCCGTCGAGTCAGTTCTGACCCACAATGACCCTGTATAGGGTTTCCGAGGAGCAGCTGCTGAGCTTGAACTGTTGACCCTGTGGTTCAACCTGAATTTGCCAGCACATTAACCCACAGCGCCACACTGTATAAGGCCCTCGAAATCATTTGATCTGGCCCTGCCAAGGCAACTGCAGTTCCAGCCATCACATTGGGGGTGAGATCATTAAATGCCGTCGAATCGGTCTGACCTATAGCGACACTGTATAGGGTTTCCAAGGAGCACCTGGTGGGCTTGAACCGCTGACCTTGTGGTTCAAATCGACTTTTCAGTCCAGAGCACTAACTAACCCAGAGCCACACCAGGATTTCTTGACCAAACACAGCAGGCTAATTTTTAAGTTGATATGGCCTGTGAATGATGTAATAAATTTTGGCAGATAAAAGATTCCCCACCCCTGCCTTAGAGAAAACACAAGTACCAAAGCAAGAGCTTCATCTTTCCAAGAATACAGTGCTGTCTCTGTTGTCAACTAGAAAGTTCATTCAGTGGCAAGGGAGAAGCCCAGTTGTCCCTCACTGGCTTGGCAATTCGCTCTCTACAGGCCCACTTTTTGTGTTCTGCTCTTCTAAAGGAAGTCCTTTTCCAGGGTATCTTGGAATCTGACGATGTTTTAGAAAGCCCCTGAAACTCATCTTGTGACCACGTGTCATATCTACCCCGACTCCCCCTTTCCTGTGCCCAGGCCATCTACCAGTCTAGCTTTTACTCTTCAAAAAATACATTTGCTTGGACATCAAACCTTAAAGTGCAGCATTTTTGAAAATTTGATTGAAAAAAAAATTTTTTTTTCCTCTTAGAAATCTCTCCCTTTTCCTGAATTAGCAAAATGCACAGGATATACATGCATAATGTAAAGTTATTTTATAAATATCTAAGAACTAGGGCATATGGATTCTCATTCTTCCAAATCTTTTTAAAAACTGTCAGTATCTCAATGGTTATGAATCACAGACTCCTGAGGGGTGCAGAGTAAGCTAATGAGAAGTGTTAGGGTTCAGGACATCTCGCAGAGGCCTTTCTTTGGGTCCTCTAAGGTTGTGCTTTTGTGACTACCCAGTTTGCAACTCCAAACCAAAGAGACCAAAGTCCATTACACAAATTAAAGAAAACTAACTCAGACTTTGAAGGGGAACTCAGCCAAACCATACAGAATATATGAAAAGAAAAAAAAAAGAGAGAGTGAGAGAGATTTAATTATTAGTTTCAAATTCATTCAGGTCTCCTACCTGACAGCAAGTATTTGCAAGTAAAGATCCCTGGAGGTATTCTTTAATGAATCTAAAGTAATCTAGCTGTAATTAGGGGTCATCACTCAGGTGCCACTTCAAGCACCTTTTGGCACAGTTCACATTACTGTTAGCACTCTGACTGTGGGGTCTAAAGCAGAGCTGGCCAAGTCAATTGTTGGTAATCAGTACTTTTACAGAATGGACTTTTGACTTAGTCATGACAAGAGTTAGTAAAGTTTGTTGTCTCTGCTGTTTTATCTATCTGTCCTGTCCCCCCACAAGCCTGACTGGTCCTCTGTAAAACAAAGACAATGCTGTGGTAAGGGATCACAAGGTCATTTTATTCATCCCCATGTTTCAGGGGAGAAGTTAAAAGGGGGCCAGGCTATGAATCTGTGTATCTCAAAGAGAAGAAGATACACAGAGAGGGAGGAAACATAGGAGAGCACAGAGGGATTTCTGAAGAGACCAAAAGTAAAGTTCAAGTTAAAGTCCTCCCTCCACCCCCTCTAAGACAGCAGATTAAATGTTTTCTTAAAGGGGGTGGAAGAAAGCCTTCAGTATGGGAAATTCTCAAGATGGTCCATCTTCAAGAATAATGGGCACATGAGATTGCTAGACCAGACATAGGTTGTTAATTCATACCCAGGGGTATATGAGAAGGATGAATTGGGAGACAGGGGCAAAGAAATCTGTTCTAAGGCTAAGAACTTCAATAGCATTCCTAGATTCATCTCACAGCCTTGATATCCCCCAGCAAGTGGGGACAGAAAGAAACAGTGAAGAAAAAAAGTCTGGAGGAAAGCAGTTGTTGATGGTTATATTGAAACAAGGGGGCTAGTGCCCACACAGGCCAACCACAAGTCAGGGGTACCAAACCCATGGGGTATCTGTAACACAGCTTCTTGGAGCTGCAAGATTACTTACAGCAGGGGAGGTTAGGTGATTGAAATGAAAACAATTTTATGTTAAAACAGACATAAATGAATTATGGAATATAAATGTAACTTTTTTTTAAAGATAAACAGCAAGTACAAGACCATTGTCCACTTTTGGTGGTACTTGGGATCATACCCCACCCACCATATATCCCCTCAAGCAGAAATTAGTTGGCCTCTTCACTAGAGGACTTGTGGTGGAGAAATCTGGAAGGCTTCATAGTTAAGCAAAAGCCCATGCTCTGCTAGGAAATGTAATTGTGTTCCTCACAAAGTGCCAAGGAACATCTGCTGAGGTGTCCAAGTCCAGGAAGTTGCTGGGGAAAAACAATTCTCAATTGGCTTTCCAAGTTAATCGGGGAAGGGAAGAGAAAAAAATCTGAGAAAAAATAGCATCCATTTGGAAACTAAAAACAACAGTCACCCAAGCACTGCAAACACTTCTCACCTGGATATGCAGAGATTACAGCAGTTGCTGGACTCCTTTTGCCTTCTCAAATAAGAACTGACTTTAGGTTTGAAAAACACCTATTTCTCAGAGGAAGCATTCTCCCCTAGAGCCCACAGATGTACCCGTGGGCTGGAAGAAACACATTTTCTAGTTGCCATAGGAAAGAAGAAAATCTTTTGTGCAGACTGGGGGAACAACTCTTACCTAAATCCAAACTTATCCATGGCTACAGAAATGTGTCGTGGCTGTGAAAAACACCTGTAGGTATTACGGTCATCCATTGGAATGAGGTCCACATCACTAAATACAAAGCAGTTGTAGTCATAGTCTTTCAAGGCCTCTTGAAAGCCAATGTTGAGTAGCTTAGCACGATTGAACATGGAGTCTCCATCCTGGTGCAAAAACAAAGGAAGCAATGTCAGAAGCCTTAAGGCCAAATTTGTTCAAATTGAACACCTACATGGTCTGGTGACTTGTCACTAAATATGGTCATGAATCCATTCTTGGGTCTCACTTATCTGTCCTTATTTTACATATCAATACCAAACATCAGATCCTTTGACCCAGCAATCAGACTTCTAGAAATTTTTTTTTTTTTTTCCTTCTTAACTTTTTATTGTGAATTGAATAAAGGTTTACAGAGCAGATCATCAGTTTTAAATTCAACCAATTTTACACTTTGTTTCATCTCAATGTAATGTCATGTACCCTTCCCTCCTCCGATTCCCCCCAGTGTTTCCTTCCCACCCCTGCTGAACTTTGTCCTTAGGTAAATGCTGTTGTTCTATTGTAAGCATACCTCACTAGTGTTGTTGCCCCCATATACATATGTATTGACTGGCTGAAAACAGAGCCACAGGGGTGACTCGAGTTCTAGACCTGAAGGGTAACTATAGTCTCAGGGTTCCACCAGTCTCTATAGGATCAGTAAAATTCTGGTTTTTTGATGAGTTTGAGTTTTGTTAGGATTTATCTTGCACTAAGATTTACACATGTCAGAATGACATATGAGGGGGCTTTAAAACGTCCATGGGCAAATGGAATAAAAAGATAAGGGAATTTTTCTATGAACTTTTGGGAGCCCCCTGGTGCATCAGTGAATAAAAATGTAAGATTCCAGCCTTTATAGAGCTTACATTCTTGTGGGAGAAACAGAATAAACAAACTATAAATATAAAATACCTCTGCACTAGTTAACTAGGTGTCTATGGGCCCAGTGGGTCAGTATCCTGAAACAGGTGCTTCTCTTCTCTCTCACCCAACCAGATTTTAGTGAGAGCTTTTATCACCCCACTTCTCCCCAATCCTGCACACACTGTAAGCATTGTGCGGCAGGGATTGATTGTGAGTGCCATGTTGCCCTGGTGCCTAGTTTGTTGCCTGACAGAGACATGGAAGGCACATGATGTGGTCATGAAACCACAATTAAATATACCTAAGTATACATACTCAGTGCCTTCATCATGCCATGCACAGAGGAGCTCAGTAATAGCTGCTGGGTGAGTGAATGAATGAATGAATGAATGAATGAGTGAGTAGACTGAAAGATGAGTTTCAACATATGATGGCAGACTGCAACCTCTTGCGGGAAGTTCCAATCAGAAAGCCTCCTCAAGGGTCACCACTGTGGGTCTCTACTCTCACCAACTCCAAGGGTCCCCGGGCAGTGAAGATAGTAAAAGCATTGATACGGCCACCCCTTACACCTGGTGCTCTTACCCAAACCCTCTTGAGATCACCAAGGTCAGGGTCCTCTAATTTGGGGAGAAAGTGTCCCATAAATTTGGCAATGGGTACACAATCTTAAACTTGGGATGCTCCAAGTCTTCCCTCCATGGCCTCATGAGAAGACTGGGAAACATGCTTCACAAGGTTGCCTGTGTTGAGTAAAGGCTGCACGAACCAGACTCTGGTTGACTCAGAGAAACAAAGCACTTAGTGAAAAACAGGTATCAGGAAAGTCAGAAAGAAAAACAAACCAGGAGAAGAGCAAATGAGTGAAGGAAACCTTTTACACAAACGCCCTTTCTTCTGCTCATGACAGAGTTTTCTAATCATGCATGGTAAAGAGACAGCTTTGCCCAAGGGCACACTGTTCACTGCTGCCCCACCCAGCAAGAGTCCATTTAAAATTCTGCCTTCGGTGACATCTGTATAATTCAAGAGATTAAAAAAAAAAAGTCCAAAATTTAGAAACTGCATATGAAAACTGTTACGATTAATATTATTACAAAAACAACGCACTGCAAAAATATTCACTTAGGGATGAACATGCGCCAGGCACAGGTTAAGTGTTTGATGGGCATGGTGTGTAATCTAATCCTTTCAACCTTCTCTAAATACCTCCACTTCACTCAGACTCACTCCATTCACCTTTTCCCCAGCATGGGTGAAGCAAGAGATCCTCCAACTCAAAGTAAGGTGCCACATTACCCAAGATCGTTACTGAAAACATGTTAAGCAGTTTCTGCTGCTACAACTAAAATAACCTGAACTCCAGATCACTCCCCGCGGCCCCTCCTCTAAGGCATGGGGAAGGGCTGCATACTTCAGCAGCTGTTACTACCACCAGGGCCAGCAGGTAGATAGATGATGGTAGTGTGTCTGCTCCTCCCTCCCCTGGGACTACAGCGAAGTCTAATCTTTTTAGCTAATTGTCTAAGGCTTCTTTAGATGAAATGTTGGGGCACCTTGGGCACTCATCTTTTTGATGAAGAGGTCCAGAGCCTGGCACATTTGCCAGTCCCTACCATTAACAGGAGGAGCTCTTTCCCTTCCTGGGGTGGGGAAGACGCCCAGTCCTCATTCCTGCTCCTTCTCATGGAGAACATTCACCCTGTGCACCTGCTGTTTCATTCAGTTACGTAAATAGTATCAAGCACTGACTGTCAGGCCTAGTGTGCTGCTGTAGGATAAGCACTGGACTACCAACTACAGGTTGTTGGTTCAAACCCACCAGCCACACTCAGAAATGCTACTAGAGTGGCAATGCATTGGAACCTGATTTGATGGCATTTAACAACTGTCAGGCCAAGCCAAGTGCAGGACTGTGAAAGACAACACATATTTTTATTCCTGGAGTGCCAGACTGCCCACTTATGAGCTATGTGGCTTTGGGCAAATGACATCTCTAGACCTCACTTTCCTCATCTGTGCCATGGGTGGCGCATGAGGACTGAATGAGACAATACATGAAAAATCCTTAGCATTCTGGCAACAAATGTGTTACTATCAGCACTGTGGGCTAATGTGCTGGATTGAAAAGTCAGTTTGAACCACAAGGTTGGTGGTTCAAGTTCACCAGTCACTCCTCAGAAATCCTGTATGGTGGTGGTGTGCCATGGCATCAGTTCCGACTCATAGCGACCCTGCATAGGGTTTCCGCGACTGTAAATCTTTATGGCAGCAGAAAGCCTCATCTTTCTCCCATGGAACTGCTGGTGGTTTTGAACTGCTGACCATGAAGTTAGCAGCCCAACTCATAACCACTATGCTACTAGATCTCCATCAGAAACCCTGTATAGGGTTGCTGTAAGTCAGAACCGACTTGATGGCATTTAACAACAACACCATCATCATTGTGGAGTCCTTGTATGTCACTGTAAGATAAGCACCAAACTGCTAACCACACCAGCCGCTCCTTGGAAACCCTATACAAGGCTGCTATGAGTTGGAACAGAGCCAATGGCACTTAACAATAACAGCACCATCATTACAGGAATAGGTTTCCCCACCCATCTAGAACAGTCAGATCTTTCAGAATGGCTCTTCGACTATCAGATGTAATAGAATCTTGTTATGAAGCATTTGTGTGTGGGTGGACTGGGATGCAGAGACAAGGGTGAGTTTGCCAACAAAGGACATACCACAGGATGGAAAATGAGCTCTAATATGTGAGGCAGGTGGAAATGCAGCGATTGGGCCAAATGATCTGATCAAGGGAATCCTAAAAGTTAAGGACTACAATGCAGATGTTGTCAACTGGATTCTTTCTATGTAAGAATCACAGGCTGTATGGGAAGGAACAGAACCTCAGCTTCCAGGGAAAGGAAATCCAGGGCTAAAACAACTCCCTGTTGTGGCTCTAGGTTCACAACAGTGCCAAGGGTGGGATGGAGACATTGAAATGACCCATCAGAATGACACCTTCTGGTGTTCAATGATAGGTGGGCATAACCCACTAACCCATCCAAGACATAAAATTAAAACTCAAAGACACAAAGCTAAAAGAATCAGTGGGCAAGGGGACCACTAAATCTAAATCTAACTCTAATTTTATCACTTAGGGACCCAACCTGCAGATTCTGCCTTCTCTCATGCTTTTTGTGTGTCCTTCAGAACCAGTAACAAGATTCCTCCCAATCGGCTTCCCTAAATAGGATTAAGGCTCAGGTGAGCTAGCCTGTGGCTCACACACTGAGAGTCTCCATAGCAGCAGCAGCTGTCAGAGATCTTTAGAAACCTGGGAAACAAATGGCTTGGGCAGTCACAAGGAACCCTGGGTGGCGCAGTGGTTAAGCAGCTTGGCTGCCAACCAAAAGTTGGGCAGTTTAAACCCAGCAGCCGCTCTGCATGAGAGAAATGTGGTAGTCTGCTTCTGTAAAGATTTACAGCCTTAGAAGCCTCATGGGTAGTTCTGCTGTGTCCTGTGGGGTCTCTGAGTCAGAAGTAACCTGGCAGTAATGGGTCTTTTGTGTTTTGTGTTTGGGAAAGTCACAGCTTAGTGAAAGGAGCCAGCATGGTGTGGGCAGATGTTCCTCTGAAGATGCACTTCTCAGTGTGAACTTCATCTTATGTTGGTCAACAAGAGTTATGCTCACCCTTTCTTCTAGGGCAACTAGATCCTCATCACAGAAGGAAAGGACAGGAAGAAAAGTATACAAAAAAGTACACAAAATCCCCAGGAACTGAGCAGAAGCTGCAGAAGTTAGACCAGACAGAGACCCTGGAGGGACGTGGGGAGGGACCAGGAGGACTAGGAATGAAGCAGGTACTACAGTGAGGACCAGCTCCCGGCTCTGTGCTGCAGCTTATACCTAGACACAGGTGAGGTGAATTAAAATAAGAAAAATTTAAAAAATGAAACAATTTCTGAAAGAGGAACTGAATGTTTGACAATGCATCAAAGTTTGAAAACATTGCTCTGGAGCACACCAATATTACCAGTTCATTTCAACCACTTTATCATTTTCACTAAGGTGGTTTTTGATCTAATGGCCTGCTTCTGCCTTCACCAACCTTTTCCTTGCTCCTGGAATGTAAGACAGGCCTCAGTACTGTCGGAGCCTGAAGCTTCAAAGCCCAGAAACATGGCATTACCACAGTTGGATGAGGCCCCATTGAGCAAACCTCACAGAAAAGTCTGAAAGCCTTTTGGATTTGGCATCTGTTG